GTCACCACCACATGAGGAACTGTATTAAAGGGTCACAGCATTAGGAAGGTTGAGAACCACTGCCTTAGACCATTAGACTCACTAGAAGCGTTTCAGTTTTTCAATAGGGAGGGCTTCACAAATGTCCATGTTCTCCTTGTTCAGGGCCATGCTAATCTTCTCTGTCTCCTTTCAGTTTTAGTACATGTCTGGTGGGTGTGAACCCCGGAGGAGCGCCTTTAAAACTCCTAATTGTTTGCCACTCAGAACAATCACACCAGGCTGTCAGGGGTGCCCACGAGCATTCCTACTTTTTAAAGCATCCCAGTTAATTCTATAGGCAGTAAAGGTTGATCTCTACTGAGCTGAGGCCAAGCAAGGGGGAGAGAACATAAACGGAGAAAGAGTACAGGGAAAGGTCGTGGAGAGAGAAGAGTAGTATAAGGAAATAGCCTCGTACCGCCCCTCCAGGGGACTGTTTCTTCCTGTTCTTCTCTCTGAAAGTCAGTCATCCTGTGGTTACAAGCTGGGCCGTAGGAGACACATGGCTGCATTAGCAGCGTGGTTCTGCCTCTTGGGACCAGGTGGCCTTGGTTGTGTCATATGCAAATGGGATACTATCCAGAGGCTCCGAAAAGTGTATGGAAAAATTCCATTTTCCACTAACCTTTTGCTCTCTCATATTAGTTTTTGTTTTTTAATTTTAAATGACATTGCTACAAAATCACAGAAACCTTTATGAAACAAAGTGTTTCAAATGTAAAGATACTGTTTCTTGACTCATGCTCCCATCTGGGTGTATAGACATCTGAAAGTGGTGTTTTTATCTCTCCAACTTTCCCTGAAGAATCCGCACTCTTTGATGTATACCACCTTAAAATGACAGGTTGGACATTCCCCCAGAGACTCACATTGTGCTCATTTAAGTGCTCTTTGAGTTTGGGGAACAAAAAGATGCCTGAATGGGCAACATCAAGTCTATAAGGCGGATGAAGTAAGGTTTCTCAATGAAATTCTCATAGGACCGCCCTTGTAAACCTTGAAGAATGAGCTGGTGTATTGTAACAGGGGAAAAATTCCTCAGGGCAAATGTACTGGCCTTTTCCTCATCAACACAGTTATCAATTTTCTTAAAAGTTCTTCCTAATAAGCCCATGGCCATCTTGTGTCCTTCATATAAATCTTTCAAGATCACCCCTTGTGAACCCCAGAAAAAGCCATCATAACCTTCAGAGCGGATCTCTCGTTCTTAATTGAGCTGGCCCAGCAGTCCTCTCAGAAGCTATATTTTGAGGGATCCTTTTATTAGGAATATTATTTTAAACAAGTGTTTTATGGACTGAACTTTTCTCCAGCCTCCCACTGATTGTAGACATGTTTACATATGTTTTGTTTGCGATAAACCTGTGCATGTGTGAACAAGAACCCTAGTAGCAATATTTTTTTACTTAACCCACATACTAGTTTAGTGGATTATTATGTTATCAGTCTTAGAATATGTTGCTTATGATAAATCAGATTCAATCTCCTAAAAAAAAAGGTGACATCGTAAGTTATAAGAAATGTGCAGACCAGTAAGGCTACAAAGGCAAGAAGTTTTTGACCTTCATAATAACTGACATTTCCTTTCAAACACTTCTTGGTTAAATTGAGAGGTACTTTTTTCCCCTCCCCAATTCTTAATGACTATAGACTGTGAAATGGCATGGGACTTCATGAGCTTGTAAGTTCACTTCCTACCTTGTTTATATAACCTTTATCCTCAGGATGTTTGGTTTGTATAAGGTTGTCTTCCTGAACGTTAGTCTAGCCTGCTCCAAGTTAACTGGCGGTAGAAACAAATCACTTTTATCTTCAGATTTCATAGGATATACGTAGGAAGGACACTGGTTCTTTGACGTTGTCTAGCTGTTTAATGAATCAGCTATGATGACTGGCCTTAAGCCCAGCACCAGACTCACCACCATCGAGTCCATTGTGACTCGAGGCAGCGGAGTAGAATACGCTGTGGCTTCGCAGACGGACGGGTCTCTGGAGAAGAAAGCCTGCTGCCTCTGACAGAGCATGGACTCCAGCAACTGCCCCGAAGCCCACGTTATGGTTACTCTTGGTCACAGCACCAGTTTTACGAAGAGAACATTCCAGGTGAATGCCTGCCAACTGCTATATGTAGGTATTGTTTTTTATTGGTAAATGAACAGACTGCTGGGTCGCTATAGCCAAAGATTATACTTTACCCACAACATCGATTCTGTTGTAACATCTAAAGTCAGTTTAAAAAATTGAAATAAATGAGAGCCATCTTGCAGCGAACTGGGAGTTTGCTCACAAGATCCGAGGAAGACAGACTAGCAGATGGCAGGTGACCTTGCTCTTGGCTTTTCCATGTAAATCACCAACACCCTCTGTGGAAGTCATTGTTACCTATTTCTTTCCTCCTTCACCTTAGCCAACTTTATACTTCTATTGAGGCCATAATTATTATTGTCTGGAAGTTGCTAGTTTTGTTTTATAATTTTCTTTTTCTTAAAAAAGCAGAAATGAAAATTGGAGATTATATATTTTCTTTCATTTATTCTATAACAAGAATAAAAACACAAAAGGAAACAAATAAAAAGCTACAATGTAATACAATCAGCAAACATTTGTACCAAGGCTAATAATTGTACCGCTGTATTACTTGACTCTTACAGTTACTTAAGTGTTTGATTATGAAAGCTCAGTCTTAGTTTCTTAAAGAAAGCAATTGCTTTTTAAAAATGGTTTTTTGGGGGGTCCAATTTTGGATGTCTACCCTTTTACACTACTGTGTCCCCTTTCTTTGCACTATACTTTGGTGAATTAACTCTAGCGTGCGAATCTGCAATCGATCTAGACAAAACGTTCAGACCCCTCATTTGACAGCGGAGACATTATAGCTTGTCTGAGGCCACAAGGCCTGACGTCTCCCATCCTCAGGAGGGGCCTTGTGGTAAGTGTAGTCTTTAGAGTTGAACTCACCTGACTTTCATCTCACCTTTACTTGCTCTTTCCTTGGTGAGGCATTGATTTCGGGCCAGCTGCAGGGCTCACCTGCGCTTTAGTTTCACCCACCTCCGAGCTGGTCAGCAGCACTTGGAGAGGTGCCGGAAAGAAGTACGTGAGGATTCATCTAAAGCAGTCAGCATGGACTCACTCAAAGAGACAGAAGACTGCAGTTAATAGCAGGACTGGTGGTGGTGGCATTTGTCCTCTGTGCTACTTGAGGGCACATTTTAACATAGCATCGTAATAGGAGAATGCACACTCCACTTATTCCACACGCTAAAAGTGGCACATCAATGTGTACTAGGCTCTTTTTCCAGAATGCTCTGAATGTTAAAAATATATACCTTTGAAAAAAACATCCTTTTGATTGTCAATTGAGTGAAGGTTTCTGGAGCAGAACAAGTTTTCATTCAACAATTCATATACCTTTTGTTTCATGTCCTTGTTTGCAATCCCCGCAAGAGAGTATCATTTATCCCACTTTCTTCCTGTGATTCATTAGTAGTCTTAAATTTAAAATTACATTTATTTATTAAAGAGCGAAACAATTTTTGGCTCCATCAGCCTTTCTCAATTGGTATCCTCAAGTGAATTATAGAACAATATAGACTTCTGAATGACTTAAAAAAATTCTCCCAAGGATATTACATAATTATCATTATTCGAGTTACATAAACAGGAGTTCCATCATTTCCTACATTGGGGACCTGAAACATGGCTTATCTCATTCCTAGAGCCTTGGTTAGGTCATTTGCAGATTCAAGTGGGGGGAAATGATATCATGCTTCTCTTTTGATTAAAATAGTTAAAATTTACCCCTGAAAGGAGGTAAAGGAATAAGTTCTTCCAGTAGTTGGCTGTGTGAATGGACATGATGGGTAACGTAGAGGGGTCAGCGTCCAAGAAGACTCTCAGCAAGTTGGTTGATGCAGTCGCTGCCACAACGGGCGCAAACATGACAGCGATGTGAGGCGGCCCCGGACCCGGCAGCCTTTCTCTGTTGTACGCGGGCTGCTGTGGAACCGACCTGATGGCACCGAACAACAACAACAAATGGGCAAAAGGAAGATGCCCTGGTGGCACAGGGACTCAAGTGCTCCGCTGAGAGATGGGTGGTGGGAGGTTTGAACCCACCAGCTGCTCCTTGAGAGAAAGATGTATCCATTTTACAGAGGTATCAGCCTCTGTCGGGTCTTGAACCTGCAGCAGAGTGTATTAACTGTTTATTCCACCCAGGCGTTCTTACTTGTGGAAATCCAAGAGATGAATACTTGGTTCTGGGATCTCTGACATTTGTATTCTGGCTTTAAAGCTGGGCTTAGAAGTCAATCATCTGAAAAACTAGATAAGACTGTATCAAGTATAGTTTAAAATGGGCCAGATTTGAGAAGGTCAGGGCCTTGGGGCATCTGAGTGTCCCCAGTGTACTGCCCTAAAAACATGACGGGCCTCAGTGAGCCAACGGGAGAGGTCATAGCCCATCATGACAGACATTCATGAAGCGACCGAGGTTTACAGTGCAAACACTTAAGGAATCCAGTACATTTTCTCTCTGAGGCATGTGTACATAATTGAGTACATTGAAGAGTATGTCTCTTGACACATGAAGTATAAAAGCTAGTGAATTTAGGGGTTTGAAATAGAATGATTAACACAAGGAGTAAGTGAAAGGAGTCATTAGAGCTATACACATCAGAAAACACAAAATTAATTTCAGGCCCTGTCAATCTACTCAATGAACTCGGTAAAACTAGGTAAGAGAGGAAGGGTGTCAGTGTAAGCCTGTCCCCATTGGGGTTTTGCTTCTTCATTTTACACACATTGGGGAGCATCACATTGTTAACATGTGAGCAGCTCACCGCTGCAGTATTCCTGTCCTGCTAAATCCACCGTTCAAATGTGGAAGATGTATAGGCCATATCATAAATGTGTAAAGCTGTGTCTTATATGTAGTCCATAATGTAGTACCTATGGAAAAAACTTCTCATGATATAAGGAAGATTGTTTATATGTATATCTACCTATTTATCAAGAGATTATATAATATCTCATGTCATTGGTTGGGGGGGTGTTGGTGACTGTAAACCACCATTATAACAGCTGGCATACAGAAATGATTGTAGCTGTAGCCATTATTATTTATACATTGGTAGATTTCTGTTTCTCTATTCCTTTTCCACTTTGTTACCTTCAAAAG